CTGTAAAACTTTTGCCTTATTTAAAAGCAAAACCAAAAAGTACCTAACTTCATCTATTTAGTTTCCTACACTGAGCTTTATATTTGCTCTGTACCTAGTGTTACCCAATCTCCTAATTTTTATGTAATATCAAACAACCTTATCATTGTGTTCATTGCTGTCTTCTTTTATGTGCTAGCCATATGCTGTATTGTGACTACCAATTTTTGTCAACTACCATTCAAGCTGTCATTGCAATCAATCTTATATTGTTTCTGCTGTATTGTGCCTACCAATTTGTTGTCAACTACCATTTTAAGCTGTCATTGCAATCAATCATAGCTACCTATGTGCTTTAATATACTGTACCTATAATTTTCTCTCATCTTTTTTTTTCATTCCATGTAATCTGTTATCATTTTTTTGTCTATAAATTTTGCAAGTATTTACCTCCTTAAAATTTTCTTAGATTAAGGACCTGCCTGAAACGCTGCGCGTGCTAGTGGCTTTACAAGACTGTAATTACCATATTTGTATCCTCACATTCCTTATATACATTCTTGTATATGCATAAATAAATAAGGCCTCCACCCCCAGGAAGCAGCCCGTGACAGCTGACTGACACCCAGGTACCTATTTTACTGCTAGGTAGCAGGGGCATAGGGTGAAAGAAACTCTGCCCATTGTTTCTTGCCGGCACCAGGGATTGAACCCAGGACCACAGGATCACAAGTCCAGCGTACTGTCCGCTCGGCTCCCCCTGGGGAATGAGGGAATTGTGTGAAAGGCTGGTTCAACTTCAGTGGAAACCTCAGGAATCCCTGTAGGTTCAACAGAATCCCAGGTTGCAATTATTTTGACCATGTCATGGCCAGGTTGTTTAGAGTATGTGTCTGGAAATACGCAGCACATAGGTTTGAATCCTCATCATCCACAGAAAATTCACAGAAAATCCTCCTGTGGATTTTCTCATTGATTTACAGTATCATGTTATGGTGATTTCTCTGTATATAGAACTGATCATTAAAATATAACTTAAACACAGATGCATATTTCCAAGACACCTGAATCTTTTCTTACACACTGGGCACTCATTGGGTTTATCCTCAGTATGCACAACCATGTGAGCCTTCACACTTCCAGGATGGCTGGTTACATGTTGGACACTGATAACCATGCAATTCTGCATACGTCGAAGCCAGTTGAATCTTTTCCTCACACTCTGGTCACTCCTGATCATGCAAGTCTTGATACTTCCAAGGTGACAATCTTTTCTCACACTCTGGACCCTCATGGGGTTTCATTCCCCCCACATGGTGATTTATTAGTACATAATAATGTACCCTATCAGTACATAATAATGTACCCTATCAGTACATAATAATGTACCCTATCAGTACATAATAATGTACCCTATCAGTACATAATAATGTACCCTATCAGTACATAATAATGTACCCTATCAGTACATAATAATGTACCCTATCAGTACATAATAATGCACCCTATCAGTACATAATAATAATACAGTACAGTATGCAGTGTATCTGTTAACTACAGAATTTTGAGAATTTTTTTGAGAAATTGACTATGTGCAACAAATTGATTTTACTATCTAAAGTTAAATAACAATGGTTAAAGTTTTATATTCTCATTTACAGAACTCATTCAATTTGAAAATTTAATCAAAAGATAAAATGAATGCAAGTTTAAATTTAAATACACGTGCTACGTTGGCCAATATTAAACCAAATTTTTGTTTCATAAAGCCGCTTGTTTTTTTTTAAACTGAAAACCCAGCCAGGGAGGGGTAACAGTAGCTAACCCGGAAGCCAACCCTGAATGCATAATTTTGACAAAGGTTTAAATTAAATCATACTTACACTTCTGGCAAGGAATGGTCAAGGTTTAAAATTTACTGAACCTCATGCATAGAATGCTATAGGTTTAAAACATACCCAACCTTACAACAAGGCAACCTAATTTTTTAACATAATTAACATTATGGCAAAGGTTTGAAAACATACATAACTTTATGGCAGGCATGGCAAAGGGTTACAACATTCCTAATTTTGATGGGTTAAATCAGAATTGGTATCAAGAATCGAGCATTTTTCAGTAATCGGAAATGAGAAAAAGTTAACATGAATTCTGATTCTTAAAACTATTCTTTAACATTTAATAACAAAATTTGTCATTTTAGGTAATAATTAAAATTGTTTAAATTATAATCAGTAATAATCAATCATTATATTCTAAATTCTATACTATTTTGAATTTGAATTTTGAATTTAAAGTTAGTTTGATTTTGTTCGCTAGAAGTAAAAAAAAGAAAGTTATTTTGTATTGCCAGTCAAGATATTGCAAGATTAAACAAACATTCTGTGTGGCAAGTGACATGAAAATGTGCAACTGTGCTAAGAAATAAAAATAACACTATCAGTACTAACACATAATCAGTGTTCCCAAGTCTGGCATTTATGTCATTATGCCATATATATGTATATATATATATATATATATATATATATATATATATATATATATATATATATATATATATATATATATATATATATATATGTCGTACCTAGTAGCCAGAACGCACTTCTCAGCCTACTATGCAAGGCCCGATTTGCCTAATAAGCCAAGTTTTCATGAATTAATTGTTTTTCGACTACCTAACCTACCTAACCAAACCTAACCTAACTTTTTCGGCAACCTAACCTAACCTAACCTATAAAGATAGGTTAGGTTAGGTTAGGTAGGGTTGGTTAGGTTCGGTCATATATCTACGTTAATTTTAACTCCAATAAAAAAAAAATGATCTCATACATAATGAAATGGGTAGCTTTATCATTTCATAAGAAAAAAATTAGAAAAAATATATTAATTCAGGAAAACTTGGCTTATTAGGCAAATCGGGCCTTGCATAGTAGGCTGAGAAGTGAGTTCTGGCTACTAGGTACGACATATATATATATATATATATATATATATATATATATATATATATATATATATATATATATATATATATATGTCGTACCTAATAGCCAGAACGCACTTGTCAGCCTACTATGCAAGGCCCGATTTGCCTAATAAGCCAAGTTTTCATGAATTAATGATTTTTCGACTACCTAACCTACCTAACCTAACCTAACCTAACTTTTTCGGCTACCTAACCTAACCTAACCTATAAAGATAGGTTAGGTTAGGTTAGGTAGGGTTGGTTAGGTTCGGTCATATATCTACGTTAATTTTAACTCCAATAAAAAAAAAATGACCTCATACATAATGAAATGGGTAGCTTTATCATATCATAAGAAAAAAATTAGAGAGAATATATTAATTCAGGAAAACTTGGCTTATTAGGCAAATCGGGCCTTGCATAGTAGGCTGAGAAGTGCGTTCTGGCTACTAGGTACGACATATATATATATATATATATATATATATATATCGTACCTAGTAGCCAGAACTCACTTCTCAGCCTACTATGCAAGGCCCGATTTGCCTAATAAGCCTAGTTTTCATGAATTAATGTTTTTTCGACAACCTAACCTACCTAACCTAACCTAACCTAACGTTTTCGGCCACCTAACCTAACCTAACCTATAGAGATAGGTTAGGTTAGGTTAGGTAGGGTTGGTTAGGTTCGGTCATATATCTACGTTAATTTTAACTCTAATTAAAAAAAATTGACCTCATACATAATGAAATGGGTAGCTTTATCATTTCATAAGAAAAAAATTAGAGAAAATATAATAATTCAGTAAAACTTGGCTTATTAGGCAAATCGGGCCTCGCATAGTAGGCTGAGAAGTGAGTTCTGGCTACTAGGTACGACATATATATATATATATATATATATATATATATATGTCGTACCTAGTAGCCAGAACTCACTTCTCAGCCTACTATTCAAGGCCCGATTTGCCTAATAAGTCAAGTTTTCCTGAATTAATATATTTACTATAATTTTTTCTTATGAAATGATAAAGCAACCCTTTTCTCTATGTATGAGGTCAATTTTTTTTTATTGGAGTTAAAATTAACGTAGATATATGACCGAACCTAACCAACCCTACCTAACCTAACCTAACCTATATTTATAGGTAAGGTTAGGTTAGGTAGCCAAAAAAAGCTAGGTTAGGTTAGGTTAGGTAGGTTAGGTAGACGAAAAAACATTAATTCATGAAAACTTGGCTTATTAGGCAAATCGGGCGTTGAATAGTAGGCTGAGAAGTGCGTTCTGGCTATTAGGTACGACATATATATATATATATATATATATATATATATATATATATATATATATATATATATATATATATATATATATATATATATATATATATATATATATTTTTTTTTTTTTTTTTTTGAGATATATACAAGAGTTGTTACATTTTTGTACAGCCACTAGTACGCGTAGCGTTTCGGGCAGGTCCCTGGAATACGATCCCCGCCGCGAAGAATCGTTTTTACAACCAAGTACCCATTTTACTGTTGAGTTAAACAGAGGCTACAGTTAAGGATTTGCGCCCAGTAAATTCTCCCCGGCCAGGATACGAACCCATGACAAAGCGCTCGCAGAACGCCAGGCGAGTGTCTTACCACTACACCACGGAGACTGGTATTTTGGGCATATTTAAAGGCATTTTGGCATATAGAAAATTTGTGAATGCAAAATCCTATTTGACATTATATTTGACATAAAATAAATACTCCCTCTATTAATGTACAATAAGCCATAATAATGACGAGGGAGCCACATTCAAAATACCCGCCAGAGGGAGTTTCATACTTTAGGTGATGCTGCGTCCTGATTGGTTGGCGTGTAAGGGGGAGTAACGCACGCTTCAGGCAGAGAAGAGACCAACAGCTTAATTGTCTTGTTGATATTACATGTATTAATGTCGCCAAGCCCTCTTAATTGCCTTTAAGAGGCCAATTCATATTGCTCTTGCTGGAATTTTCGGGCTTGGACTACCCCAAAGCCGAGGAAACCCACTTACCTTATCACTTCCCACCTCTCGAAGCCCGGATTTGCTTCTACGGATTCGGGCACACCGTTCATGAGCGTATGCAGTGAATCCGGATTAGCAGTGTTATTGTTTACACAATACGCACGCTGTGGGCTGTCAGTAGCGCCATTGTCCCCCAGTGATTGATGCACCCTCCCACTGCTTGTACCTTTGTGGTTTATTATCATAGACTGTCTTCAGATGTATGGCTCCAGGGAGCCATATATATCAAGAAAGCCAGTGGAGATTGTGTGTTTCTACCTGAATTACTTCTATTTGTCACCGGAGACATAACTAATGATCCATACACCATTGAAAAGTCATTTAACTTGCAATGTATTATCACGTGTGGGTGTCAAACATAGATTATAAGTGAAAATATATAAGTGCCTTTTCCTGAAATAAGTATGCTTTTGACATTTCCACACATTCAGTGGTAGATATATATATGTGCAATGACCTATCTAGCTTTTAAGTGCTTCACCTAGTTTATAGGTGAACATATAAGTGATTTAACCTTAAATAAGTGTGATTTAGAAATTTCCAATTCTGAGTGACAATTTAAGTGGTATCCCTACATAGAACAGTGGGCTACCTTTAGTATTAAAGTCCGTCCTTAATCTCATTATTGCACTTTTAAGTGTACAAGCTACAAATTTGCTCTGTAATAAGTGTGTCTTTGAAATGTCCACTCATTAGAACCAACATGAATCTATGGCTTTTCACTATATTGAAAATAACCTAGCTTTTAAGTGCATGACCCTAGATTAAGTACATGAACATCTGAAGTACATCCAGCTCTTAAGAGTGTTCCATACCACTTTTGGTATGATTTAACAGTACCCCAAATTCTGAAGAGGAGCAATACTGTGTTCGGCGAGTCCTAAGTAGTGGGTTTGGACTACCCAAAGGCTGAGGTACGAGGACCTGCCTATCTCATCCCTTCCCACGTCTGCCTGCAAAGCCTGGACTTGCATTTGACTCCTCTTCAGAAGTCTACAGCTTAAGGTGAGCCTCCATCACTTGTATCTATTCCTTATACGTGGTCCGGCAACCATAATCCATGAGGTGACTACAACAATAACACTTAGAACTACACTACAGCTGCACAAACATCTGTTAAAATGTGTTATTATTGAAATGCTTTTGGGAGCTGGCAACCCGCACTATTGTGTTGCCAGCTCTGGGATTGAGAGGTTGTTGCTAGATCAGATGAGTTGCTTGGCTCATCTCAACATTCAGACTTTGAAAGCTGTGTATGTGTTTATTTTATATATATACAAGAGTTCTTATATTCTTGTTAAGCCACTAGCATGCAAAGCGTTTTGGGCAGGTCCTTAATCCTAATTTTTCTCTGGAATTCGACCCGCCAAATCGTTTAATAACCGGGTACCTACTCACTGCTGCGTGAACAGAGGCTAAAGTTAAGGACTGGCACCAGGTCAATCCTCCTCGGCAGGGATACGAACCCAGGCTAAATTAAGTGCTCGCGAAGCGCCAGCGAGTCTTTTGTAGTCTCCGTGGTGTAGTGGTAAGACACTCGCCTGGCGTTCCGCGAGCGCTATGTCATGGGTTCGTATCCTGGCCGGGGAGGATTTACTGGGCGCAATTCCTTAACTGTAGCCTCTGTTTAACGCAACAGTAAAATGTGTACTTGGATGAAAAAACGATTCTTCGCGGCAGGGGATCGTATTCCAGGGACCATAGGATTAAGGACTTGCCCGAAACGCTACGCGTACTAGTGGCTGTACAAGAATGTAACAACTCTTGTATATATCTAAAAAAAAAAAAAAGTGTCTACACTGCGCCATGGAACTGCTGATGTGCGCCGCCAACTTAAGAGGTCATGCGCCCAACGTTCGGGCAAGCGCATGGCGACACTGAAATGTGTATACTCGTTTCAGTTTTCTCACTTTAATTCTCATACTACGTCGTTCGTTTTGGTATCATTGTGTTCGCAATTATATTCCCTACAGTTGTATATGCATATAATATCCAAAAGCCTGGCGTGACTCCCAACAGCAAAGCCTAAATTCGGCAAAAGTTACCCGTGAGCGCACAAAATCAGTAACATGTGTATACTTGTTTCAGTTTTCTCACCTTAATTCTCGTGCTACGTCGCTCGTTTTGGTATCATTGTGTTCGCAATTATATTCCCTACAGTTGTATATGCATATAATATCCAAAAGCCTGGCGTGACTCCCAACAGCAAAGCCTAAAGTCGGCAAAAGTTACCCGTGAGCGCACAAAATCAGTAACATGTGTATACTTGTTTCAGTTTTCTCACCTTAATTCTCGTGCTACGTCGCTCGTTTTGGTATTATTGTGTTCGCAATTAAATTCCCTACAGATGTGTATGAATATAATGTACAAAAGCCTGGCGTGCCTCCCCGCAGGAAAGCCTAAATTTACCCGTAAAAGAGCACCAATTTGTACACAGCAACCTAATGTGTATACTCGTTCAGTTAGATAACATCAATTTTCGTGTTACGTCTTTCATTTTGGTATCAAATTGTTCGCAATAAAAAGGCGCGTATTTTTAAACTAGTCCCATAATAATAGAGCAATAACTGGAATTTTAACAAATATTTTAATTCTGGAAGCTCATCAAATTTTGTTATATCTTTTCAGCGTTCTGACAAATTTGTGTTTCATCTTTCATTTTGGTATCAAATTGTTCGCGACGTAAAGGCGCGCATTTTAAAACTAGTCCCAACATAATAACACAATAAATAGAATTTTAAATATTAAAATTTTGACCAAAAACCAATTTATAATCTTTCAAGTGTTCGGACATCAAGTTTTATGTTACATCTTTCATTTTGGTATCAAATTGTGCGCATTCTAAAGGCGATTATTTTGATACTATCCCGAGGTCAATCGGATAAAAAATGAATTTTATACAAATATTTTTGTAGTGGACGCATGTCCTGTCCATGGCTAGGATTCGGGAACTAAAAATGGACGTGATCGGTGTCCAAAGAGAGCGATAGTGTTTAATTAAGACTGTGCCTGCGGTGACTTATTTCACATTGTCATCAATACAGAGTAAACATAACTAGATGAAATAGAGAAGTTACATTAGGAATTATGTATTTTGTAAAAAAATGCAATTCAGCTTCAGATAGAGAATGTTAACATCAGCAATAAAAATGATGGAAAGTGCCTTGGCCTATACTTAGACACGAGACTCAACTTCAGCACCCACATACAACACATAACCAAAAAAGTTAAAAAAACGTTTGGTATACTCTAAAATCAGATATTATGTTCCAAACTTTGCTCTCTTCTCACCATACTATGCGCTAATCTATCCCTATCTTACATATGGTATCTGTGCATGGGATTAAACCACTGCAAACTACCTCAAGCCTATTATCACCCAGCAAAAATCTGCTATCAGAACAATAACAAACTATGATTTCAGACAACACAGACCCATCCCTGTTTGAATCCCTAAACATGCTAAACATAATCTCACTCCACAAATTCTCTTGTGTCAATTACATTTACAAAACCCTGTTCTTAAATGCAAACCATGCTCTGAAACTCTCCCTGGACAGATGTAATAGGACCCATTATCACCACACCAAAAATAAATATCTCTGATATCCCCAGAGTCAAACTTAATCTGTGTAAACACTATGCAAATAAAGGGACCTAGTCCATGGAACTCACTCCCTAACGAATTGAAAAAATGTCCAACTTTTGGCTTATTTAAAAATAAAACCAAAAAGTACCTAATTTTATCTTCATAGTTTCCTACCTAGTGCTTTAAACTCGCACTGTATCTAGTGCTACCCAGCCCCCTAATATATGTACCTAAGCCATACAACTTTACCATTATAATCATTGCTATCACCTTATAACATGGTTGTTACAATGAAGGCATATTTTACTGCATTATACCTTGACTTAATCTTCAAATTATGTTACAATGTACGTGTTGATAACCCTTAAATTTTACTTTATTGTACCTACTAATCTTTGTCAAACTTTCTTACCATGTCCCCTCTTAATTTGTTTAATTTTGCTAGACCTACTTAAAATTATCTGTTAGATTAAGAACCTGCCCGAATAGCTTTAGCTATTAGCACACATGCTATGCGTGCTAATGGCTTTACAAAAATGTAAAAACATCAATGTTATGTACTCAAACCCAATGTACCTTCTTGAGGTTATCTTGAGATGATTTCGGAGCTTTAGTGTCCCCGCGGCCCGGTCCTCGACCAGGCCTCCACCCCCAGGAAGCAGCCCGTGACAGCTGACTAACTCCCAGGTACCTATTTTACTGCTAGGTAACAGGGGCATAGGGTGAAAGAAACTCTACCCATTGTTTCTCGCCGGCACCTGGGATCGAACCCAGGACCACAAGTCCTTCCTGTATATAAATAAATAAATACATATATATAAATATATATATATCCCTTAATCATAAAATTTATATATATATTATATATAAATATATATATATTTTTTATTTATATATTTTTATATATATTTATATATGTTGTACCTAGTAGCCAGAACATCATACTGCCAACTATGCAAGGTCCGATTTGCCTAATAAGCCAAGTTTTTCTGAATTTATACAATTTTTTAGTTTTTCATTATGTATCAGTTAATTTGTTTAAATTTGAGTTAAACTAACATAGATATATGACCGAACCTAACCAACCCTACCTAACCTATCCTAACCTAACCTAACACAACTAAGTAAATAATTTATGTTGCTAATATAATATAATAATAATGCCTGCCTATTAACTTTTTCTCATTTCCGATGACTGTACAATGCTCGATTCTTGTGATTCTAGATACTAATTCTGATTTATCATCCCATCGAAATTAGGAATGTTTGTAACCCTTTGCCTGTCATAAAGTTATGTATGTTTTCAAACCTTTGCCATAATGTCTGCCCCAACGAACTCAGTATATAGGCAAGACAACAACGTCTCTTTCTCTCTCTCTCTCTCTCTCTCTCTCTCTCTCTCTCTCTCTCTCTCTCTCTCTCTTGGTGTTTAACAATGCACAAACAGGGCTCCATTAAGGA